TGGAGTATTCCCATAAAGAGACACTAGTACAACAGTACACACTTACTTGCACTGTTTGTAACGGTTATGAAATATAATTGTATATGAACCTGAAAAAGTTGTTTCCAAACAGCATTTTTTCTCTGCACCGATTTTTGAACCCAGAGCCTTAAGACGGCACGGCAGTTAACACGGCAGGAAAGTAACTCCTACACCACCACCCGCACGTCTAAAATCAACCTTCCCGTCGCTTAAGAAAAGTTGATCATTTGCATTAACAATTTTTTTAATTAAACAATTTTTCATTTTAATAATTTTAAGATCTATTTATAAAGAACAGATTTCACTAAAAACATAATGTTTACTATAATTTTTATAGTACTGGAATGTTAATTTTCTCTTTGCAGTTTTAAAAAATACACAATCCCAAAAAATGGGACCTTTACTATTTTTGAAATTTTCTTTATAAATCGCATTAACCTCAAGCAAAAATTACAGTAAGTCGACCTTGGTTTTCAAAATATTACACAAAACCACCAAAGATCTATTTTTTATAATTACATTGCACTTTATTAAAAGTATTGTTTTTACAAGATTCATTAAAAGGTCATCAAACAGTGCATACCATTTTCGTTTATACAGATTGCTAATATAATACTTATTCATCTAAGAAATAGGTAGTATACATAGCTAAAATACATATAATTTTATAAAAACTTAATTTTGTCATTCAATTTTGCAAGTTCATTGGTTTGGAACTATTGAGAATGTGATACCGATCAGCAATATGTTCATGGCATTGCAAGCAAACATTTCATTTAGATTGTGACGGTTCTGTCTGCAGAGAAAGGAATGAAAGACGTGGCATGTTCGTGTTGTTTTACAATATTTCTGTGATGTGAATTTTGCTGCATCCATTTTGAGGTTGTTGACGGCTGTCTCGTCCGAGTAGTTGTGGCAAACGAATTTCAACACAGTCTATCCGACTTCTGGTGCTACTGATTTTTAAAAAGTTGTTCTGTCGCACTTTCTGTTTACAAATGATATCGTTAAAAAGGTGCTACATTTCTACAATTGCAGCTCATAATTTCGCAGTACCATTTTCAAAACGTCGTGCATCACAAAGCGAAAGGAACAGTACTGTGTCGAGGTTCGTCGGAAAACGGCGATGGAGCAGCCAGCCAACATCAAGGTCTGTTTCCGTTTGGGTAACTCCGCCTCTAAAACGTACGATCTGATGAAACTGTGTACTATACTGATTTTTGGTTCGTTCAAACGTTTTTCGATGGTATTCTCGCTTACGAGATGCACTGCACTTGTTCCACGTGCGCCGCGACCGAGAACAAGTCGTTCTTCAGAAAATGTGGACATTCCTGCATCAGACCGAAGTGTCTCTGCAAGGACTATTGAAGCACTTAATGCTTAGTGCATATTTTGCCAGAGAATTTGGACAAAAGGTCCGTACACGCTTCGTTCTACACACGCTCACAAACGACCACAAACTCGCCAGAGTTGAGCCCTGCAAAGGCACGGCTGAAACTGCTGAATGACCCAAATTTTGTAAGAAACTGTGACTGGTACCACGTCATGGTACTCCCAATATGAACCACTAACGAAGCGACAAAGTACGGAATGGTTGAGCCCGAAACAGAAAAACACCAACGAAAGTACGCATGCAGATAAGTAGTGTGGCCATTGCTGTGGATATTTTTTGATTCTAAGGGAACCATTCACAGAGTGTTCGTGCTGGAAGGTCAGACAGGAAACTCAGCATATTTTTTGTGTCATAAACCGTTCTTGGTCAAGAATTAGTCGAGTGCTGACTGAAAATCGAGAACAAGACTCTTGGTCGTTTTTGCATGACAATGCAACCCACAAGTCTAAGAAAGTCCTCTATTTGTTTGGCTAAGAAATGCATATCTGTGATGGAATATCCTACTTATTCGCCAGATCTTGCACCCTGTGACTATTGGCTGTCTCCCAAATTGAAGGTGGCATTGAAAGGAAGATAACAACACCATACAGGACATACTGCAATTCCAAAGAACGTCTATAGTAAAACCTTTGAAATTTTTTTGAAATCATTGTAAGCAGTGCGTTGGGTCAAGTGAGGGGTATTTTTAATAAAAATACAAAACATCAAAATGTCATTGGCGTTTTTCTATTTTTTAGTGAACCACTCGCATTAGAATCGCACAGACCGTGTATATCTCACTTCTAAATTAAACAGCGTGAACATTTTTTAATTGAACCTGTATTCCGATGAGAGGCTTTTATAAAAGATTTCAATTTGGCTTGACAATAAAGATCTAATTTTTAGAACAGATTTCGTTTAAGAAAAAAACTATCAATTTGTCTGCAGTTTTCGAAAATACAGAATTTCCTCGACAACGGGCCCTACGTTATCTTTTAGGTGGATAATTTTCTATCCACGAAAAAAAAATTAAGGAAAGAAATTGTAGCCGTTTCTGAGAAAATAGGTTAAAAACTCTCTATTTCACACAACATTTTCTGTATAGTTATATGGTTCTTTTCTGTTGTAACTTTACTACAGGTATTTTTGTGCGATGTATTCGCACGGCTACAGTTAGTTTACTAGGCATAGGACGAGTTATCCACATTTTTGATACCAGTTCCGCCCAAAACGAGTTTTTCTACTGAAAAATCAATTTCTGACGCAGGATACTTTCTGTTTACTACGTAAGTACGTAACAAAAATCCGCCATTATTTTCAAAAGGTAATTAATGCACTGATTACTATATCATTAGCGGAACGAACCAACAACTTTCATGGACATTTCTTTGAATAACGAGGGACTAGACTCAAAAATCACTACTTAGGGAGGATGATTCTTTCTTCTGATGATTGAATTTCTCTCTTCGGAGGAAATTGCGCCTATTGACATCCATTGACGCTCGCTGGACTTTTACGGAGAGCAAACAGTGGATGTGAGTACAGTGCGGCGATGGGTAGAGCGTTTTCGTGGTGGTGACAGCGACGTGAAAGACAAACCACGTTGCGGTCGGCCACGCACACGCTTGCACACGCAGAGCAATTGAGAAGAGCGCCTTCGAGCAACGTATCTCGCAGCGAGAATAGGAACGCAAAATCACGACTAGGGAATTGTGGTGCAGCGTTAGAAGCAAATTGGCTGCAATGCATTGAAGTTAATGCTCAGTAAATTTTAAGCTACGGGAAATTGTGCGCAGGGAGTGTCGCGAAGCACTAACAGGAAACTTCACCCGAATGGGAGTTTGTTGAGAATTTTCTGGCCCCCGCATAGCGATGCTGAAGGTTACGGGTTTCTGGACAGAATAATTACGGGTGACGAGGCATGGTGTCATCATTATGAGCCAGAAAACAAGAGACATTCCATGGAATGGCGCCATAAGAATTCCTCGACGAAAACAATCAAAACCCAGTCTTCAGCAGGCATAATCATGAGCACAATCTTCTGGGATAGGAGAGGGGTAATCCTTATGGACTTTCTGGAACCTGGTCGAACAATAGACTCCGACCGGTATATTAAACTCTGACCAAACTGAAAAATCGCATTTCAAGTTTTCAAAACAACTTTTCTCTTGCAACCCGACAATGCAAGACCTCACTCCAATCTCAAGACGACGAACCAAATTGCCAAATTTGGCTGGACTGTTTTACCACACCCACCATACAGTCCGGATTTGGCACCTTCAGACTTCCGCTTGTTGGGGCTAATGAAGGATGGATTGGGGTCGATTGTTGAACGGCGCTGTCGAAGCAGCTGTGCGTCAGTGGCTCACCTCGGCTGGTGCAGATTTTTACGAGCGAGGCATGCAGGCTCTAATTCTTCGGTGGAAGAAGTGCATAGAAAGAAAAGGGGGCAATGTTGAAAAATAGGGACGAATTAAAAAATGTTTTTTCTCACATCGTGTATTAAGATTCTTTTTTTTTATTTACTGTACTTATCATGCAATTAAATAGGAGGCATTACTTTCGGAACGACCCTCGTATTTCACTTCCAGAAATATAAGATTCTCCAGAAATATAAATTCTGGGAAGTCAACGAGTTAAATTTCGAGTCCATGCTAAATTGAAACTTTTTGCTCCTTTCTCTCTAAACGTAATATAGATTTTTGAAAACTGTTTTACCTACCTGCAGCAGACGTATACTACTAGTTGCATTCATACCAAATGTTTTATTATTGATACGAGCAGAATATATGTCTAAAATTAAATACAAAATTGTATCTTTATCTTAGTATTTTTTTATAATTTGTACACTTACATTATCGTAACAACTACAGTACATTTACCACATGTATTGCAACCTACGTAATAATTTGAGAATAACTCCTTGAGTAAATTTTGATAAATGGAATAAATTATCCAAACAAATGTGTTTTCAAAACTAGATTTAAAATCAAACAAATGTAACAAAAAGAACCAAGCAGCGCAAAGAATACTCGCCAAAACGGGTGGTAATGGCGAAAATATAGTACTGAGAGTGCATCGAAATGAAACTTCCTGAGACATTAAAAAATTAGGAATGGCTGAATAAGAAACAGATTTAAGCGCGTTCAAAATGGCAAAGGCAAAGCCGGCAACCATTTTGACAGACGCAGAAATATAAATAGTCATAAAAGCGTGATCTGTAATAAGTTAGACCATAAATATTAACATGTTCAGTACATTTTAAATATTTACTTTAACTAAAAACTTAAAATTAAAAATTTAGAGATCATTAATGATCCAGGTATATTAAAAAAGCATTCAATAGTTCTTTGGCAGGTCTACTTTAGTACATTTGTGAATTCTGCCATTTATAATTCACACAAAAAGCACAGTTATTCTAAGTTAATTCAATAAAATGTACACATTACTGGCAAAGGAATTTCAGAAAATAAATTTAAATTAATCACCATAAATATAAACTACAAAAATATAAACAATATCCCACTGTTCGTCCCTGAATTATTCCGAAGACAAAATCGTGCAGATCTATAATTATTTGAAGATGTTTGGTGCACTCGGTGGTCCGTCAATTTCTTTTCTGCGATCCAAGGCAGACAAATAGTGCGTTCGCTGCGCCAGGTTCACCGCTGCCTACCCCACCCTTCCTCGAAATTCAACGTATCGCACCGTCTATACATTGGGAAAGTGAAGGAGACAAGTTTTCTAGGAAACAAACATTTCGACAGGAAACAGATTCACCAAATTAACTCAACTAATCGAAAGAATGTACATGAAATGATTGCCCAAATAATTACGGAACACACTCGGCAACATACAAGATGACAATTCGAGAAGAGGGCGCGTGGAAGACGCAAGCCCCAACTCCCTACCAGGTCTCAGAAGGAACTTTGACAATAAGGAGCGCTAGAGATTACTCTAACGTGCTCTCTCGGTCAATTAAAGATGCCACTGAATGTCGGACAAAAACCCAGGCGGAATGAGCAATAACTGACGTGGTTGTACAAGGTTGCTTTTAACTAACCAATGAAAAGATACGGAAAGAACATATTACATTACAGGAATATTTAACTAGCTCTAAAGCTTTGAAATTGCTAGAGAAATAGTGCAGATTACTTTTAAACATATGCTTGGACCGCAACATACCAATATAGAGCGTTCGAATTGCGTGAGTTTGAAGATTTATCACTGACAAGTTCCGGAATCTGATAACACAATTTTGAAAATTCTTCAGTAGCCAGGTTTTTATCATCAGTTCTTTAAGATTTTACAAATCACTGAGAACATCACTGAGTCGCCCAAAAAAGCGGCGAGAAACCATGTCTGTAAAACTATCTCTACGGTCGGTGCCCTGTGTGCCTGCGCTTGTGAACGTTGAGGACTCCTGAGTGGATGAAAGCCATTCCGCAAATATCGCAACGGTATGGGCGCTCGCCCGTATGCCTACGCTTGTGAACTACGAGGGCATTTGACTGTGTGAAAGATTTCCCACACAGGTCGCACGAATACGGGCGCTCCCCTGTGTGAACGCGCCTGTGGCGCGCCAGGTTGCCCGGTTGGTTGAAGGTCATTCCACACTCGTCGCAACTATACGGTCGCTGTCCCGTGTGCACGCGCTTGTGCCCGTTGAGGTGGTCTTTGCGAGCGAAACTTCTACCGCACTCGTCGCACTTAAAGGGCAGTTTTCTCCTGTGCAGCGCCACATGACGCGCCAGTCTCTGGGATGTATGGAAGGTGGCGCCGCTCTCGCTGCGTCTCATGTGCGGCCTCAGCTCCTGGTCCTGCAGCATTCGAGGGCCCCATGCGCCTGCACAACCACGCAAAGTCGTCTCACAGAACGCTCTCTGTTCAGACAGGCGACTTGGGCACGGCAACTGGCTGCCATAGGCGGCCTAGCGCAGTTGACGAGCCCCGGCGCAACTTAGAACAGGGAAAGGATTGCGGCAGACAGGCAGCGGTGGACTAAGAGAAGAGCGACTACCAGTTTACTTTTGATGTCGTGGCTGATCCAGCCTTGTGGAGTGATCTGATTCTATGATTCACGCTTCCTTCGGTACAACCCGGAACTAAAATTCGAGCTATTGGGATTGAAGACATAAGAGGCACCTACTAAACGTGGGAAAGGTGTTCTAGTGAGAGGTAAGGGGAGTGGCGCTGGGCGTCTTTACGAGACTAGCAGCCCGAGCTAAGTGCGAGGACGTGTGTAGATCCTGCAATCCCCCAATATGTCTTGCAAATATTTATGAGTAGGCACTCAGCTTGCAGAGAAGTGCAATTCGGAAGGAAATCAGAACAGCGACATATAAGAATCAAAATAATACTCCACGTTTTATTGATATTCGATCCTCCTAGTCCATACACAACGTAACATATAGAACGACTCGATGAAAAACTTACGTCCCACGCGGAAAAGCACATAGCAATTTACACTGCAGCCATCACCTGCCCCGTACCTTCGTCACGCTTCCTATTTTTATTGTTTGTGTTGATGCTATTATTGATCGTTTGAGAGTACAGTGCTTGTAGATATTCAATGGTTTTGGTATTTTTGGTTGAAAGATGTTTTGTATTAGCCTTATTTATTTACTAGCTGAAATAGTACCCCGCATTGCCGGGGTATTTATCACAATAATTTATTAGAAAGAGGAATTCCATTTATTCCCGCCGTGCGGCGGAGACTACTTATTCTATTGTATCCCCGCCCTTCTTCCCCCCTTGCTACCACATGGAAACATCCAGCCTTCCTGAGTCACTTTCTCACTAATTTTTTTTTTCTTATGAGGATTCCCGCCCTGCTCCCAACTTCACTCACTTCGTAACAAAAATAAAAAAAATATTATATACCTAAAAAATAAAATATATTTACTAACGTATATTCTTTTGTGGAATGTTATGTATTGTTCCACTACTTTCAATCAAATGCCACTTTGTAAAGTTTATTATTTTTCTTTTTTTCCCCTCACGTACTTATAAAAGTTTGAAATTCATTTTTAACGCCACGCATAAGTAATTAACATTTAATTTTTGGAAAAAGCTTTTAATTGAATTCGAGTACGCATTTTAGAATCCTTGATAGTCGTTGACGGGAAGGTGACTTCAACCATTTAGATAATTATAATAACTTAAAAAATCCGAGATCACAGTGGATCCTTGCTTGTCAGAAGTTTTTCTATTATGTAAAATAACGTCTTTTGTTCTATTTTCAACCTTGTAAAACAGGGTTGACACACATTCAACTCAACCAAATACCTTTCCCCATTACCTTCGTTAATTCAATTAAACTTATTGCCTCTCTATTCATGAATTTAAATAATTCAGCATCCAAAGATACGCCAACACTCTCTACTATAAAAAAATATAAAAAAACAACACGTCCGTACAAAAATCATCCATCATAGTTTCAACATAACTCATTATCTATATTTTACTTTCGCTCGGTCAACTCGCAACTACGTAATAATCATGCGTAATTTACTAAAACTATTTAATGTTAACACGTATGCATCCATACCGTTTCCGACAAAACCAATCACATCTGTAAGCAAAAATATTGTTCCCTATAATTTCACATCTCTTGAACACTTAACACGTTCACGCCTAGGTGAAATTAAAATCAATACACAAGTTAACTTATCAATAGAGTGACGAAAATGTAACAATCGTTCTTAAATATGAACATTCCGGATTAGACAATAGAATGCACTCTTAAAAATAATTCATCCTCGTTCTTATAGATCTAGGCAATTCTGTGCGTTGATGACCTAAATCAGTCGACACCCTGTGGTGGCGCGCAGCTACACAAGAGCACATTGATGCACTTGAATCTGTGATGTAATGCTAGGCGAAAAATTCCGCAAACGTAATTATTTTGTTAATGCGAGTACAAAAGCTGGCTGTAGATTATAGTCTATAGAACTCCTTGCCTTCAAAGCAAGCAAGCACAAACGTTTTAATCGATATTGTTTGAGTACATTAAGAGATAATCGCGCTGTAACTCAATGCTCTTGTGTCATTACATATACATTAGTATAGATATGTAGATTATTGCCTGACATTACACTGGAACGTATTGGAAAATAAATAATAATTCATTCATTAACGATCGAGTTCAATACACCCCATTGACACAGATGGTGTACAGTGCAAATAGAAATCTTGCTGTATCAGAAGCCTTTCTCTATATCAGTGGACGGAGATGTCGTGCCACTGTTCGTCGTGCAATTGTTCGAATTTGGATCTTACAGGCTGATTATTGTTAACGTTACCGTTTTATCTTCGGAACGAATCCACAACTCTGACAATTTCATTGAACGACCAGAGTTAAGACTCTTAAAAAAATATAGCAATATCACAAATTAGGCACAAGATTTACGAAGTAGTCAACACGTATCCACAACGATCCTACAGAAAGAATATAAAAATACGATCTCAGGATTCCTTCATTTATTCAGAAGCGATTTTATTGAATCGCGTAACACGCGAGATATTTTACATAATAAAAAAAATAAAAGTGCTGAAGCTATCTTCTTTTTTGTGGATTTTATAATTTTTGTAAAAACACATGTAAAATAGCCATTTTTAGGTCGACAAAATGTTTTTCAAAATGTATTCTGTCTGTGATGCCACGATAAGCACAAGATACCTCAGTTTTACCAGTCATTTTTTTAGGAAGCTGAGGTTCAACCAATAAAAATAATAGTAATAAAGCAGAACAAAAGCTAATTTAAGCATATTTGAAGACGGAAGCAAACTAGGAGATTTCACGGATTTACTAAACTAGGAAGATAAATCGAAAAACACGTGAGTAGTTCGCGTACGTCTATCTGATACACCTTAATGCACCAATATATTTCGCCCCTAGAAATTCAAGTACATTGATTATGTTGGATACTTACAGTGCCTTTAAAATGTGTCCAGGTAGTTTGTTTAATTTTTGTACTAGTGATTCCGGGCACGTCTACTGCTAAGGTCATTAGCCCTGTGTAGTGCATGTTTTGCTCGGAAGGTGGTGGTGGTGGTAGTGATCTTGCCCCGCTGGACCGCGAGATCCAGCGCCGACCTACCGTCTGTTAGCGGAGTTTTCCCGAACTAGATATCTTCCCAACAGCAGAGCACCGCCCCAGCCGGGACAAGCTCTACGCACCCGACCATTCTCGTGCAATGTGAGGTAGTGGAATGCATGTGTGTAAAGGGATAAGGAAAGAACAGGGAATGGGAAGGAAAGATCGCATGCGGTCCGAGGCCCGTTTGGTAGGGTACTGCTCCAACATTTGCCTGGTATTGACCAGGCCAATCGAACTCGCTCAAGCTATCTGGCTAGTTTGGAAAATCGTGCCATTGCCGGAACTTGAACCCCTATCGGACAGCGACACTGCAGAGACATGAGTTGATGCCAAGAGCCTGTTAGAAAAGTTTGCGATATGCCGACATGTTGAGCTGATTTTAATTTAGAGAATCCGATTTTTTTTTTTTTTTAATGTTCTTAAACGACGAACTTAACCCTTGCTTGACTCTTACCCTCTTTGGTTCAGCGCTGAAATTGTTTTCTGTCGCTTATAATTCGCAGGTCATTTTGCTGTTTGTGTTTCAAACTGTAGATTTCGATACATCGAATTCTTCTGCATATTGTCGCTATCTTATACATCTATTGAATTCACTTTTTACTTTCCCGTATACATACGTATATACGGAGTATTATATGTAGTATATGTAAAGTTATGAAATGCTGCGGAAAATCGACTTCGAGATATCTACGGAAATACACGTTTGGGGGTCCTGATACCGAAAAAGTGTTTTATTTTTTCAAAACGTCTGTCTGTCCATCTGTGAACACTACTAGCGCTTAAAACATACGTAAGATTTTTTTCCGAATTGAAGACGCCCCTGACGATCCGGCTCGAGTCGATGCTTTGAGATTTTGGAAAACGTTCTTTAAATTTGGGGATACTTTACATGAAGCCCCCGAACATTTTCAAAATTTTCTAAAAATTGGCTCCAATTTTTTTTCTTTACATTTCTTTTGAGAAGAGAGTAAAGTATATTTATAAAGTCCGATATTTATAGGTCCGATTTTTATGTTTAACTAGGAATTTGCGAAAATTTCATAATTTTTGGGCGTCTTTCTACAATTACAAAATTGAAGATAGAGATTTTTCCTACACATAAAATTTGTTCTCTATAGTGAGTTCATTCATTAAGGTCATGTACATTATTTTGAAACGATAAACAGTTTTCGCGCAATATTGGGAGCAAAATAATATTTCCGTTCTATTAGAAAACCGAAAAATTAAGAACATTTCCAAAAAAAATGTGCTTTGGACGGCGACAGATGGGAGCCGGCAAGTGTATGAGGCAAGTTCGATTAGCTACCCGGGGTCAAAGAAAATAGAAACAAATACGTATCTCTGCCATTCTGTAGCACCACTAGTTTCTCTTTTCAATCCACATCTCCCACTAACTGTATTATGTTGATACATACCAGACATCTCCACCATACTCTTACACGTAGATCACTACTGAATCCTAATCCGGCAGATAAATCTCCACTATGGGAATTCCAATGCCTGTCCGAAGGCAATCAGGAGAAAAAGAATATCGTATAATTGAAAACTTTTAGTATATATATAATTATATATATAGATATATATATATAATATAATATATATATATATTAATGATATGTGACTGCTTGTTATCGACTTTGATATGCAACAAACTCGACAGTCACATAACTTACTATATAGAGAGGATCGTTGTTACGAGGGAAATATGGAAACAGTTGAGTGTTGCTACATGTTCTCTTAAGAAGGTAATTATGGAAGGGTAATATGAAAAGAGAAACTGTTCAAGTTAAGTTATTTCGTACATAATTAAATCTGAATCGATAAAACTAGGTAAAAAAAATTGTCCGCACCAAAACTGGCTTTAATGATCAAGTTACAAAACTATGATTAAGAACCCTCATAAAGCACTTGGTGTAAAAATATCTAGTTTTCAAGCGACCTTAACCTTTAAGATCTTCAGGGCGCCCAACTTTCAAGGTGGGTATCCAATAAGCACATGTTCAACTGGCACAGCTTAAAGATTTCGCAGGTCACTCCACACAGCGAACCAGCATATGGAAGCGATCGAGAGAAACGTGCAAGTTGACAGGAATTACATTGTCATTAAAAACACATGACAGTGCACTAAACAGAGTTAATTGAACAAAGAAAGTGAGCTCAATTAACCATTTTATTCATCATTCATCATCAATCCATCAATTTATTTACAATACAATACTGCCTCCGCTTGTTGGAAACAATATTAACATTTCATAAAAATTAAAATCTGAATCAGTATTAATATTTTACACTCGTAAGATTTGTAAGTTATAGCTTAATTATACAAAAAAACATTACTGAACGAAATAGTTCTAAATTTATTTTAAGCACTTCATATTACTGCCAAATGAACTTCAACTATTAAGAAATGTACAAATGTAAAAGAACACTACGCTTTACAAATGAAAATCGAAACAAATATACCGGTCTATTAAGCTTAATTATTCTGACAAGCACGCGCGCACACGCACACAATCGTATTTGTGGAATGTCGAACATTGGTCTTCCCAACAAAAATTTTCGTTTATCGTGAAACTATGTTTCTTTGCCGCATCTAGGAACGCAAATCCAAAACTCGAGGGCGAGATCCCTAACAAGAAGAAGAGGAAACCCACGCAACTCGAAGCAGAAAACGAAGGAATTGCTGGCTAACCTCTAACCCCACGCTTACTCAACCGTCAACGTGGAGCAGGTGAAGGGCATGAGTCTGCTAAGCGCAAAGAATTTGCATTTGCGTTCGGAGGTAAAGAAAACCAGCAAAAAAAAAAAAATCCACGGGAAGCATGTCATCAAATTTCTCATACAGCAATAAAAGAATACATGATATTTTTGCCAAGCAATGTTTTGGTTTACAATTCGAAAAAAGACCAAATGGAATTCGCAAACTCAAATTATCTACCTGGTTAGATAAGCACATTTGACATTCACGCCTACCAGTCATTTTCTAACGCTCCCTCTCTATCATTCTGTCCCAGTAGAGGTAGAGAGTTTCGTCGAATCTATAAAAATACGCAACGAGTGCTGATCAGTTACGTTGCCCGATAAGTCATTATTTAAAGGAAAATTTCTGATACTGCCAGACAATTAAAAAGTATGTTTTATACACAGTTTTTTTTTACCGAAATAGAAAATTTTACTTAATAAATTTGGATTGAAATGTTCTTGGGATCTGTGAAGTCAATTTCGACATATTTCACATGTTTCCACGAAACTGCCACTGTCCAAAACTGCTTAGAAACAATGTACACTTACGAGCAACTGAACGGCCGCTATCGCTTGTGCCTGCGTACATGCGCGTAGAGGGAGCTTGGTTGTCTGAAGGCCATACCACACGTATCGCAACGGTGTGGGCGCTCGCCCGTGTGAGTACGCTTGTGCACTACGAGCTCGTTTGACTGTGTGAAAGACTTCCCACAGACGTCGCACGAATAAGGGCGCTCCCCTGTGTGAATGCGCCTGTGACGTGTTACGTGTCCTGCCTGGCTGAAGGACATTCCGCATATGTCGCAGCTGTACGGGCGCAGTCCTGTATGAACACGCTGGTGAGTACGAAGATGATCTTTCCGTGCGAAGGATTTACCGCACATGTAGCACTTATTCGGCAGGTTTCTCCTGTGCAGGACCATATGGCGTGCCAAATTCTGGGATGTACTAAAGGTGTCGCCGCACTCGCTGCATCTCAAGAGCGGCCTCAGCTCCTGGTCCTGCAGTGCTGGAGGGCCCCATGCGCCTGCACAACCACGCAAAGTCGTCTCACCGAACGGTCTCTCTAGGCATACACCACACGAGCACAGCAACTGGCTGACGTAGGCGGCTTCGCACAGTTGACGATGCCCAGCGAAACTTTGAGCAAGGGAAGACGGTTTTCGACAGAGGTAATGGATGGACTGAAGGAAGAGCGTCAACCAATTTTCTCTGGCTTCCGTGGTTGATTCAGCCTTGCAGAATGAGCAGATTATTAAATATCGCCACCTTCACCAGGAGCCAACAGTAAAAAGCCGTGCTATTTGTACTCAACACACACCAGAGATCTGTCTTACAGGTGTTTTGTAAAACGGAAGACGGGAGTAAAATAGAGTAAATTTGAACCTCTTTTCGAGTTTCGAGCAAAAACGAGGCCTGCAGGTAAGCAAAGGCAAAAACCCATAATTCCCCCCTCCCCCAATACATCGAAACTTTATTTACATTCGTAACACACTTAAGCCACTATAAAAGAGCAGTAATACTTGGGTCTGGCCAGACAAAGGATTTGCACGCGAAGATGTCAGTATTTTCATCGACTGTGTCCGGCGTTGTAGTGACGTCACTGATGCCAGAGAATTGTGTTAACTCTTTAGATGTGTCCCTGCCCTCTGTGTAAGCTACATGTATGTATACTTTACTCTCTTTAAGATGTCAATGGCGTCCATGAAGGGGATGGCAATTTGTTTTTTTCCTCTGGCTAGGAATAAAAAATGATTATGAAAACAAAAAAGGCATGTTTGTGTTTTTACTCGTAACTAATTAGCCAAAGGACGATATTTCACAAATTTAATAAATGAACGGCTGTCCATCTTTATAAAAAATTCGTGGAACAGTAGAGAGCAACATGGGATAATTTGGTGTCACGTTCCTTGTATATTAATAAATTATATAAGTCAAGGAACCTGTATACTATTCCAGACCTGTATCCTTACAGTCGACTTCGGTTAAAGTCAACTCGGATATAGTGAACTCGCAGTTGTAGTACACTTACATTATACATAAGAACACTAAAATTCGGTTATTATGAACTCTGAACCTCGGCTACACTAAAGACAGGGAATGCACCGACCCGGAAATTAATTCCCTTCTGGAAAAAAATGTCGCCTGAGGTGGAGGACACGGAATGGGAACCTTACTGATGACCTCGTGTCACTGTACAAACAGGGGCCGCTTTCTCCAAAGCCTACATCTGGAGACGTGCAACTGCTTGCTTCAGTTTGAAACGAAGCTATTTGAGATTTAGCGCGACAAAACGCATGATGTTCTACGCAGCCGATAGGAAGCGCGCGACTGACACATCCTTGCTCATTAAATTAAAATGTTTACACACAAGCATGTAGAAATTCAAGCAAGATATTAATGATCATAAAATAGATTCTTGAGCAAATTAAAATGAGATTCTGTTGTTCATACAAATATGTAAACAAAGGAATTTTATTCACAATACATTAAGTTCGTTTTAAACAATATTAACATTTCATACAAATGAATAGCCAAGAAAAGATTCAGATTTAAATTATTTACGAATTCTCCCTAAAACTTGCAATGCACACAAAAGTACAAAACCATTATTAAATAAAGGTATATTTTAAGCATTTCTCTACATTACTGCCAAATAAAGCCCAACGAATAAGAAACAAAGTACATAAAATGCTGTAAGCATTATATATATTAAAGATGCCCCTAAACTTTTTCGACAAAATATCACAGAATTATTGGAGGAATTTAGGTGAGTTTCGAGGGGGGGGGATTTGTTTTAGTGAAAACTATGTTTCTAACGCGCGCGAATCAAATACTCAAGGCCGCGAAGTACGCACTGCGAAGACTGTGCGATGAGAGATTATCAGCGATAATGGTAGGAGTCGCGTCCTTAAAACATACGGGACGGCCAAACACACGAAATATTCGACATAAAACTCAGCTACGCAAAGTGTTTGCATAGCGCGCTTGGAAAAAGTAAAGTGAATTCTAGAATGCGATTTTTTTTTGAGGGAAAACAGTTTTCGTAAAACTTTGTCAAATATCAAAACAAGACTACCTGAATTTTTTGTGGAAATAATTTAGGAACATCCTCTATTAATATTACTTAGTATTCGGCACTCCGATCATATCCAGATTACAATTCGAGAAAAGACCAACTGGAATCCACAAGCCCACATTACCTATCTGGTCAGAAAGGAAACCTTGACATTCACGAGAGATCCCAGGAGAAGTTGGCTGTTTCGTCGATTCTATTAAAAAACAGTAGGCAGAGAGTGCAGTTCAACATTAAATGGCAAATAAAGCGATAACGGCAAAACGTGAACTCATACTCGATTCGTTTTGATACATAAAGTTACCATGTTCTTGCCATCACATTATCAAATTTTCTATATCACTAACGAAACTTGTACAAAAACTGCCAAGACACAATGTGCACTTACGAACAAATGTATTGGCACGTGTGATTGCGTACATATACGTTGAGGGAGCTTGCCTGTCGAAGCCGTTCCTCACACATCGCTATATGGTCGCTCGCCTGTATGTCGACGCTTGTGGATCGCCAGCTTGTTTGACTGCGTGAAAGACTTTCCACACACGTCGCATGAATAAGGGCGCTCCCCTGTGTGAACGCGCCTGTGACGAGTTAGGTGTCCTGCCTGGTTAAATGTCATTTCACACAAATCGCAGCTGTACGGTCTCTGCCCCGTGTGCACGCGCTGGTGAATAACGAGGTGATCTTTCCGGGCGAATGTTTTACCACACACGTCGCACTTATTCGGCAGATCTCTGCCGTGCAGGCCCATGTGACGCGCCAAATTCCGGGATGTGTTAAAGGTGGCGCCGCACTCGCTGCATCTCAAGTGCTGCCTCAGCTCCGGATCCCGCAGAGGACCCCATGCGCCTGCACAACCACGGAAAATCGTCTCACAGAACGGTTTTCTCAGTAATATACTACAAGAGCCCGGCAACTGGCTGCCATAGGCAGCCTTGCACATCTTGGGCCCCTTCGAAAATTAGAACAGGAGGCGGCATGTGGCACAGGTCAATCGCATTAAGAGAAGAGCCACCGTTAGTTTCCTCAGTCAGAAAGCTAGGCTTCCACGGCCGGAGGCAATGGATACTAGGTTGACCGGTAGACGTCGCGTCCAAGCATAGTTCCCAAAGTATTCCAACTTTCCCACCTAACCTCTTGCACGCTATGTAGACAAGACAGACGGACGGACATTATTACGAACGTCAGGAATACGGTGCCGATGCCGAGCTTACTGATATACAAAAGACGCAGCGCGTAAATGACACTGATATTCGCGTCAGTTTTGAGGCGGTATCTTTGTTCACCATAGTGGCGATCGCGTTCGTGATGACGGCCATGTTTCTCTTACGGATTCCTTAGAAACGGAGGCTCTGGAGAGTGCACCACTTAAACTGTGGCACCAATATATGGACGATAAGCTGGTAGTGAGATCCCATGGCCCTCACGCCTTATCTGATTTCCTTCAGCGCCTCAAAAACGCCCGTTCCAAATTATGTTCACCGTGGACATGGAAAACTAGGGTAAATTGCCTATTCTAGATGAGTTGGTAGGTCCGAAAGCTACCGTCAGTCTAGGACACACTAAGAACAGGAAAAAGACTCGAACCAATCGTTACTTGCACGCCGGCTCGCACCATCATTCGGCAATTAAACCGGGACATTTTGAAAAAAATTTGGCCAACACAGCGACTAACAAGAGTATATGATGAAGTATCTTTAGACTGTGAAACGGAGCAAATGTCTAGCTGATGGGCGCAGTGCTAACGCTGCAAAAAAAAAAGGTAGGCAGCGATTCTCCAACACTGCGGATAACATCCCTACACCTAACACCGATGCCGACTTTGCCATATATTGAAAGGGTCACAGACAAAATTAGCAAACCTTTGAGCTGCCTCGGCGTGAAGATGGTCTACAAAGACCACGAAAAACTCTGGCAAACACGCTTCCTATTTCTTCTGCCATTGCGGGTGAAAGCAGCTGACACCAGAGGCATTTCCGGAGGGCCGCCTCCGGAAGCACATTCTCTATTACCAATACCTCAGTGTACAGTATAAAACGAGTGATGCTTCAACATCACATACTTTCTTACATTATTTCTAAACTTTCAATTTTCGAAGAAGAGCCCCGTGCCAATTTTAAGAGCCCCTTCTATCCGTCGAAAAAATTTGATGCAATTTATTGAGAATTTTTTAATAAAAAGTATTGTCATGCATAAATACGCCAAAACTACTAGTTAAAAAAAGAAGTAAATCACCTTTTTTTAAAACTTTTTGTCTAAAGCAAACACATAGTTCGCCGAAAATGGGACTAGCACCGTATTTGTTAACCATCGCTTGATACATACGATACATACTTGTTTAAAAGAGTTAAAAATTGCGTATATTTCAGGAAAAATTACACGAAAACTACTCATATTATCGAAAAAATGAACATGACCATTTTAAAACCTGTCTTTAAGGGAAAAAATCACTAAGGAAACAAATATCTATCTTCTATAGAGTTGTAGGATGACGAACCTCCCCAAATTACATTTTGCAATTTCGAAAAATCTGGGATTTCAACGAACATGATACATGCCTCATTCTCTTAAGCGTCCATTTTTATCCGAGAACTTTTTTTTTCAATAGCCATTTTTTAGAAAATTTTGAAATGGTTTTTGTGAATTTCATGTAAAGAACCCATTAAAATCAAAATATCTTTTTGGAGTTCCCAAAGTCTCGAGTTCGTTCAGAGCGATTGGAGAATATCATTGAATTTGAAAATTGGAACATTTTGGGAAAAAATCCTCTAAACGGTTTAGAGGTTCACCACAGACGTTTGCCGATAATCGTTTCAGTGACAAAGGAGCCACAAAACATGGATTCTTGTTACAAAGCATGTGTTAGAGGAAGTAATTTGCTAGAACTAAAACGCTACTTTACGAAGTTAATTGTGTCGACAAGAGGGATTGCTTGGGCAATGACAACTTTCCTTTTTTAGGATGCTACAGATTTGGAAAACAAGAAAAGGGCATGATTGATCCCGAGTCACCTCAGCTGTTACGGTGCGCCGGGCTCACCGCGGCCAATCAAATCCCTCCTCAACCACAGCGCAGCAAGCCTGTCACCGTATCGCAGAATGCTTATGTTTGCGCTCGGAAGTAGAGTCCTAGAAAACGAAAATTTGTTACGGTAATCATGCCAGCAAAAGTTCTTAATGTGTCAATAAGACACTACTTTTTTTTTCGCCGAAATAATTAAGGTGCATCCTCTACTAGTTCTCAACTAGCATTCGGCACTCAAGTCATATCAAGACCCCAATTCAAGGAAAGGTAACTGAAATTCAATTCTCAATTTGGTCACAGCAGAAACGGACAATTACGAAAGCTTCCTCTCGTTCAGTAAGAGGTATGAGTATGTGGGGTATTCGATTCTAAACTACCCGATGAATGAGCTGACGTTGAAGGGAGAATGAGATCGCGGCAATTACACAATAATTCGTACTTTAAACATTTGAAATACTTATAAATTTTAATACTGCTAGATTAAAGTAGATATTTCTAAACATACGTTTCGACCAATACTTACCAAAATATATAAACGCCGTGAGTTAACACATTTAGAACTCGGAACGGGTTGGAACCTTTTAATAATTTATTGGTTATAATTTTGCCATCAAACCTTACATGTGTTTACATCACTAACGACAGTTTCGTCCAAGAAAACTCGTCAGAGAAAAGTCCATGTAAATAAATCTTTACTGTCGCTGTCCCGCATGCCGGCGCTTGTGAACGGTGAGGACTCCTGAGTTGATGAAAGCCTTTCCACAAATATCGCAACGGTATGGACGTTCCCCGGTATGTCTACGTTTGTGAACTACGAGATCGTTTGACTGTGAGAAAGCCTTTCCACACAAGTCACAGGAATACGGGCGCTCCCCTGTGTGAGTGCGACGATGACGGGCCAGGCTGCCTGCCTGGTTGAAGGTCATTCCACACTCGTGGCAACCATACGGTCGCTGCCCCGTGTGCACGCGCTCGTGACTGATGAGGTAGTATTTCCGAGCAAAACTTTTACCGCACACGTCGCACTTATATGGTAGGTCTCTCCTATGCAGATCCATGTGACGCGCCAGTTTTCGAGATGTGTTAAAGGTGGCGCCGCATTCGTTGCATCTCAAGCGTTGCATCAGCTCCTGGTCCTGCAGCGGTGGAGGAACCCCTGCTCCTGCACAACCACGCAAAGTCGTCTCAGAACGCTCTGTTCAGGCCGGGCGATTAGGGCACGGCAACTGGCTGCCATAGGTGGCCTGGCACAGTTGACGAACCCCGGTGCAACATATAATCTTTAAAATTCTATAAAAAGAGACCTTATTGAACTTTCTATTAACTTTGTGAAATTTAGTGCTTCTGTGTATGGATAGTGCCGAAATTCTAAATTATATGACATTAAATTAAAGAAACCGACTCAATCTTGCACGATAATACCGAAGTTGCCGAATGCTTTTTCTTTCTGTAATACAAAAAATTAGGAATATTGCTATATATGTTTACTCACGCATATTACCGCATTATCTGATCCATAATGTGAACCACAGCTCAAAAGCGTTTAATGTTAGGTTCTCACATAAAACTATTATATTTTAAAAGAAACAAAAAGAACAAAAGTTCAGAATGATTATCCTTCTTTCCGAATAAAGTATTTCCGAGAATCGGAGGCAAAGTTTGATTAAACGACGAAGGTCTCGAGGACTTGCATTGCTTTGTTGAACACCTTCAGGTCGCAGGCAGTACAATCTAGGGCCGCCGACAGGTAGCCGTAATTACAACGCCCGTACAAACTACGGAGGGACGCGCGCGATTCATTGTACGCCATTTTCCCGACCGCTGACTTCTCATCGAACTACACCAATTCTACCATATTCATGGATTCTACACCAATGGAGGAACAAAAACACCGCTATATTTCGTTTGCTACCATTTCATTGATAATTAACTTCGGAATACACCGCTGAGCGTACCTTCTGTAGTGACGCCTAAGGAGCGGAGTTCAAAAGGACCACACAAGAGGCAATCATTGGGAATAAAAAGTAACCGTTTCTTCATTACTGCAGGCAAATTTGGTTTAAGGACTACGAAAGGTTGGTTTTATGAAAATTCATTTAGACAGTCATCCGCTGTTTCAAAGGTAACGTGTACAAAATGTTGGTATAAAACTTCAGATTTGTACTATAAAAACGCTTATCTATATAACAAAATATTTTATGTTATATAGTAGATGAGTCCTAAATTGAGATCCACTAAACAGGTACTTTACCTTTTGGTGAAAATTTCATCAAAATACGATTAGCGTGGATACAAACATACAGCCGAACCAACATAGACTAGTGGTGCTACAGAATGGCAGACTATCGTATTAGTTTTCTATTTCCTTTAGTCTCGCCTAGCTATATGAACTTGTCACATATTCTTGCCAGCTGCAATCAATCATTGCCCAAAGTACATTTTTTTGACATTTTCTTAATTTTTCGGTTTCCTAACTGTAGAACGGAATTATTTTAATATTTAAGAAATTCGTGGGCAATTTCCTTTGAAAAATTTGGAGACTTTTTTAAGAAAATGGTACTTAAGCGCTACTGTAAATTCGAAATTTAAAAGCTCTTTTTCACAAAAAATTTTTGTGTTTTGAAAAAACTTCATTTGAAGCGCATTTACACACAAATACACTAGTGTTAACAAATTGTTGGAAATGTGCATATCAACGACGTGACATATTTTAAAAAAATTACATTAGAGTAATTTCTGAAGAAAAAAGTACTCTGAAATGAAATTTACGTCATATTAAAAAGTGCAATTACCACTATGCGGTCGAAAAATTTGAAGAAAA